ATTGAGAAGGAATCGAGAGATCAGACGAAGTCAAGGGCCTGGTTTGATCAAAGAGCTGGCAGAATTACTGCATCCAAGTTACGGGCTGCTTGCCATACAAACCCAACTRCACCGTCAAAAAGTTTAATCAAACAGATCTGTTACCCAGAAGCCCATCAATTCTCTACTGCTGCCACAAGGTAATGCTTGCTCACTCAAAATATCTCATATTCAGAGCAATGTAAAATATTATTACTGAGTATGGTGTTTTAAAAAACTGTATAAATTAATGCTTTGCTTTTTATTTCATATTCTAGATGGGGATGCAATCATGAAAAATCAGCAAGGGAGGACTATGTCAAATCCATGAGAGAGCAGCACAACAATTTAACTGTTGCAGATAGTGGTTTGCAGATAAATCCAAAATGGCCCCACCTAGGAGCTTCACCTGATGGTGTTGTATTCTGTGACTGTTGTGGCGAGGGAGTTTGTGAAGTCAAGGTATGACATAGACACTTGCTTTATGTGACTAACAAGAGCTTTATTGTATCATAATAACAGTTCATAATAATATAAATGTTACAAGTTGATAATATTTACAACCCTCATTATATTCCAGTGTCCATTTTGTCACCATAATGATTCAATAGATGTGCTGGCCTCCAACAAAAAAAGCTGTTTAATCAATAAAGATGGTAAAATACAGTTGGACAGAAATCATGCCTACTATTACCAGGTAAGCTAATGTAACTTGGTTGTTCGATTACTATTAATAAGTGCTAACCTGAATGAAATGTAAATACTAGGTGTAATTGTACCTAGATAACGGGAACATTTTGACAACAATAATTTGATATCTAAGACAACATACTTTCATTTTACATGTAGGTTCAAGCCCAGATCAACATTGCAGAAGTGGAATATTGTGATTTTATTGTATGGACCGACAAAGACCTGCATGTGGAGAGAATCTGTGCTGATACTGTATTCTGGGAAGACAAAGTTATGAAAGCAACAGCTTTTTTCAAAAATGGGATTCTCCCAGAACTCTTGGCTAAGTGGTTAACTAAGCCTTCACCATAATCATGAATTGATTGCTCTTGTTTTGATTATCAAATTACAATAAGGACAGTTAGTAGTAATAATTACATTTAGTATTCAACCAACATTTTGCTATAATTCAATTGACATATTAATTCATTCAAAGGGAACAACAGAGTCAGACAAATTAGTTAGTGCACAGCACACACGAGCAATTTTGTCAATTGGAGCTTCAGTTTGTCCTTGTTTTGCAGATACAAATTCAATTGGCAATATGGTCTGTAATATAGTGTATTTCCTTCTTACAAGACCAATTACCCTTTCGACGTGTATTCGAACATTGGCAATCTTCCTTGTCTCTTCAACATCTAATGCAGATAACTGATTTTTTCCCCTGGTGAAAGCTGGGATCTTAAGACTTGCTCTGCAAAGGCCAACACTATCAGCTATATCAAAACCACGGTCAGCTAGGACTATATCCCCTGGTAACAATTTTTTTAGGAATCCACTGTTCTCTGTTAGGTACTTGTCGCTTACTCGACCACCCCATGCATTAGATATAAATGAAATCGCACCTTGTGGGGTAATTCCAATTAAAAATTTGACAGTGTTATGATGTTTATAGTTCGACCATGTCATTGCTCGGGCAATTAAGCTTGATGGTCTGTCTATGAAAACCTCAAAGCAGTCGATGATTACTGCAACTCTGCTTCCAAAATTTTTTTTGAAGATTCGTGGCATTGTTTTCCATAATTGTTCACGTTCAGGCCACCAAATCAAAAAGCTCAGTTTTTCATTCATTGCATCAATCCATTTTTCACAAATTCTAAAAGCAGTGGTAGGAGAGATGTTAAATCTGTATGCAAGGTCTTGCAATTGCAGGTTTAAACGTAGACGCATAAGTACTAAAACAAATTCATTGAACTTTGGCAAAGCATTTCTTGATGTTGAAATGACATAGGGAGCCACAAGATTGAACACTGATAACAGTATTGCAAAATTGGGTAGTCCAGTGTAAAACCTTGCTTTTGCATCATTATTCTGAAAGCTTTTCTGAGATAATGTGCGCTCCAAGACTTTCTTCTCTAAATCTATAATGATTTTCTTCATGTCCACTATTTCAGCTGTTGAACTATTAATAAAATATTCCATATTCCTGATATCTTGTACACTGAGGTCGGTCTGGCATTCTGCATTTTGTTTTGTAGCTTGTGGGGTAATTCCAATTAAAAAATTATCTTGGCTTGTGGTACATGTACTTGTCTCTACTTCTTGTATTTCTGGCATGTCAACAGGTAGTGTTTGATCTGGTATGGCGTTTGTTGCTTCATCGCCGTGCTCAAGTGACTCTTGATTAATGCTCTCTGTAAGATCAGGGACGTGGGTAAGATCTAATAAGGAAAATATTAAAGTGAGATCGTTAATTATTGGTACATAGGAAAATTAAACAGCATTTTACCTGGTTTGGGTTTCTTATTTATTTGTGTTTCAGTAGCAGTTTGACGTGTCTCACATCTGCGCTTGGCTCGTTCAGCTCGGTTTTTGGTCGCTGGGGTATTGACTGTCTTTATTTTATTATGTCCCATATTCTGCGTAGGTGCCCAGTCAGGGTTTTGGACATCGTAAAGGCTTGCTGGATTTCCTGGTCAGATAAAAACGCGCGTGAGTTGTTGTTTCTACTACACGTGTGAAGTCGCGCCACCGCATGATCAAAAAACATTGCAATTCAATCCATTAAAACATTGCCTTAAACGTCAAAATATCCAACTATTTTAGTCAGAAAAGATATAAAATAATCTAAGTACTTTTTTCTGTTACTTACCTGTAATAAAATGACAGCTACATACGCGCGTGTGTTGCAGTTTTTCATCGGTTAAATCGGCACGTGAGATATTAGCGATACTTTTTTCTTCGATCCTTTGTCAATTTTTGAGTTTTTTCTCCTTGAGAAGTAATTACCTTTGGAAATCTGAAGTATCGATATTCTTTGTCTCGAGTCGCATTGTGACCGCATTTAAAAACAGCGCACAAAACAGGCATTGTATAAAGATAATAGAGCAAAATCTCATAGCGTGACTGAGGTCAAGAGTGTTTGTATATCAACCAAGATGGCGCATAGCTAATTTGCATAAGTAGGTGTCAAGAGCTGTGACGTAGATCGAAAACGAAGAATTTCGCATAAAAGTATGCATAATCGGATTTTTTTATTGAATTTATGAAAACAGCTTGGTGGCTGTTTTAATTATGACGATGGTTGCAAAGCATCAACGGCGATACTGGTCCCTTAAGCTCGCTTTGACCTGAATACGTAWGACAGGTCTTTGGTCATGCTACTTTTTCCATTGTAATAAGCTTTCAAAATTATTAACCTCATCATCGCTCGATGACTTGAAATAGTCCAGATTCATCACCGGAAGGACCGCCGACAGTAGACCAAATAACCACAGACAACCACTAATGATGACAGCATGCTTTCGTGTAATCTTTCTCGT